GAAGGCATCGGACGAGGGAGTGGGGAATGGTGGGGAGGACGAGGGGACGGAAGTGAGAGATGGTGGGGAGGACGAGGGGACAAGGGAGGGGTTAATGGTGGGGAAGGATGAAGGGACGGGGGTTTGGGATGGTGGGGACGAGGGGATGGGGAAATGGAGAAGGGGGGAGGACAAAGGGACAGGGGAGTGGGGGAGGGTGGAAGGAAAAGGGAACGAGGGGGAATGGTTGGGAGGCCGAGGAGACGGGTGAGCGGGAAATGGTGGGGAAGACTAGGGGGACAGGGAAGGTTGCTGAGCCACAGCAACGCGTGGCTGGGTACTGCTAGTATAACTATAATTATTTAGGATAAAAACCCACACTTGCGTATGTGTGAAATTTGTGAAATTTTAATAAGCCAATTATCATATAGATGGACGAGTACTTGAGAACTGCGAGTCTTATAGATACCTTAGTGCCCCCATTAACGACCCGGGGTACCTTGATGGTCCCATTAACGACTCTGGGGGTACCTTGGTATCCCCCATTAACGACCCTGGGGTACCTCGGTGTCCCCATTAACGACCCAGGGTACCTTTGTGTCCCCATTAACGACCCAGGGTACCTTTGTGTCCCCATTAACGACCCTTTGGTACTTTGGTGTCCCCATTAACGACCCAGGGTACCTTGGTGTCCCCATTAACGACCCTTTGGTACTTTGGTGTCCCCATTAACGACCCTGGGTACCTTGGTGTCCCCATTAACGTCCCATGGTACCTTGGTACCCAGGGTCGCAGGGTTTGAGAGCAGAGATAAAATTACCTACCATAAGTGAGAGTATTAGCACAGTTTTTGACGTGAAGGCATTCCGTGGATCTCGGTAACACATGAAATTTCATGCAAAACTTTCCAATATGTTGCACTCACCTGAGGTCTATAGAAGATGAAGGAAATCTGATTACTTATTTTGGTTCTACAAGGTAGGAAACTCCATCAAAATATCATATATATACTCAACTCAATTAATGATCAACCAACCAAATAATCCATGGGATAAATGGGATCCATCAGTAGGTTTCTTAAATGCTCCCAAGAAAGATAGTGAACAATCTACGGCATTAAAACAGTTAACAATGAAAAGTATCACTAAGAGTTCCCAGGTTATGGGTACCGACCTGTTTGCCATGTTATACTGATGGCTTTGTAGAAATTGATTGGAAGACGTACCGGAAGCGCATGTATTCTATTTAAAGAATCTTCTCTCGTACATACAGCAAGCAGCGCGTCAATGACTGGTTAAGTGCCACTCAAACCCAACTTGCAGGCATATACTTTGTCACTGAATTTTTAATAGACAAAGACAGTGGACTTATATACTGAGACTCGCAGAGTGCACTCCTGGCATTGAACACACATAGTAGTGACACCCAGAAAATAGTGAAATTCGATAGAATGTTTTAGCTGCAAAAGAAAAGAGATTTGAAATTAAATTTCTTTGGACACTATCACATGATGGCATCTCAAAGCATGATACTGTTGACATGTTTGCAGAGACAGCCAGTTCGAGACCAATAGTAGAAATTAATACAGGTATTTCATTAGTAGTGACAGAGAGAATATTGAACCGATTCTCAGATGAATATCTTACTGACTTAACAAATTCACAAAGACCTGAAAACTGCAGTATTAAATATTGTGATGACTGCTGTCAGGAGAGATTTACACGAGGAACTAACAAAGCGTGAACTTGGCAATGGGATGTTATAGTGGTCATAATACTACTGGGATATAGACGTATTTGTCAGCTTCAGTAAACTCAAGTATCGAATATACCATCAACTTAGTATAGGAGAAAACATGCATTCTTGAAAACTTGAATATTATAGTGTAGAATGTCCCATATTGACTTGCTTTCTGCACCGCAGAATTGAGATATGCTGAACTCTGTAAATACTATCTGAATACTAGAACACTTGTTCATATACTGGACCTCTTCCAAAGATTTACTAAATAATGAATTGGTTATATAATATATGTGATGTAATTTTAACTTCAGTTTTTAAAAAAGCACCTTAATCACCTTCTGTGATTGAGTCCACAATAACTCACTAGTTACTATAGCAGCTGTCTTATCCTGTCAAAGACACGTAAATCAGGTCTTATGATTGGCCACAGAATATATCGTGTTTAACGAAGGTACAGCTCCTGCGCTATGGAAAAAAAACGAAAACATCAAAACGGAAACTACAAATAAAACGCAGTTAAACCACTCTAATGACGACAAAAAGCAATATAAAATATTTGAGAGTACTCGTGTAGAAAGACCTTAATTTTTTACAGAACACCATTAATATCGTTCACAACAGTAAGAAAAATGACAGGTTGGATAACAAGAACTTTCCTAACAAGAGAATCTGTACCAATGATAAAACTCTTCAAGACACTAGAGCTCTCTAGAGTGGTATACTGTTGCACACTATCATCTTCAGTCAAAGGTGGACAAGTTTCTGACCTGGAAGACGTGCAAAGGGATTTTATTGCCCGAATCCGCTTAATAAAACATCTGAATTATTGGTACCGCTTAAAATATTAAATCTGTATTCTCGAGAGTGTAGACGGGAGGAATACATAATAATTTACACTGGAAAAATGTTAGAGGGACTGGTTCACAGAAATAACACCACATGAGACCAGAAGGCATGGCAGGATGTGCAGAATACCCCCATTGAAGAGCAGAGGTGCAACAGGTACTCTGAGAGAGAACTATCAACATCAGAGGCCCGAGACTGCTCAACACGCTTCCGCTACACATAAGGGACATAACTGGCCGACCCTTCACAGTGTTCAAGAGAGAACTATCAACATCAGAGGCCCGAGACTGCTCAACACGCTTCCGCTACACATAAGGGACATAACTGGCCGACCCCTCACAGTGTTCAAGAGAGAACTATCAACATCAGAGGCCCGAGACTGTTCAACACGCTTCCACTACACATAAGGGACATAACTAGCCGACCCCTCACAGTGTTCAAGAGAGAACTATCAACATCAGAGGCCCGAGACTGCTCAACACGCTTCCGCTACACATAAGGGACATAACTGGCCGACCCCTCACAGTGTTCAAGAGAGAACTATCAACATCAGAGGCCCGAGACTGCTCAACACGCTTCCGCTACACATAAGGGACATAACTGGCCGACCCCTCACAGTGTTCAAGAGAGAACTATCAACATCAGAGGCCCGAGACTGTTCAACACGCTTCCACTACACATAAGGGACATAACTAGCCGACCCCTCACAGTGTTCAAGAGAGAACTATCAACATCAGAGGCCCGAGACTGTTCAACACGCTTCCACTACACATAAGGGACATAACTGGCCGACCCCTCACAGTGTTCAAGAGAGAACTATCAACATCAGAGGCCCGAGACTGTTCAACACGCTTCCACTACACATAAGGGACATAACTGGCCGACCCCTCACAGTGTTCAAGAGAGAACTATCAACATCAGAGGCCCGAGACTGCTCAACACGCTTCCACTACACATAAGGGGCATAACTGGCCGACCCCTCACAGTGTTCAAGAGAGAACTATCAACATCAGAGGCCCGAGACTGTTCAACACGCTTCCACTACACATAAGGGACATAACTGGCCGACCCCTCACAGTGTTCAAGAGAGAACTATCAACATCAGAGGCCCGAGACTGTTCAACACGCTTCCGCTACACATAAGGGACATAACTGGTCGACCCCTCACAGTGTTCAAGAGAGAACTATCAACATCAGAGGCCCAAGACTGTTCAACATGCTTCCACTACACATAAGGGGCATAACTGGCCGACCCCTCACAGTGTTCAAGAGAGAACTATCAACATCAGAGGCCCGAGACTGTTCAACATGCTTCCACAACACATAAGGGGCATAACTGGTCGACCCCTCACAGTGTTCAAGAGAGAACTTGACAAACACCTCCAAAGGATACCTGATCAACCAGGCTGTGACTCATACGTCAGGCTGCGAGCAGCCGTGTCCAACAGCCTGGTTGACCAGTCCAGCAACTAAGATACCTGGTCAGAGAACAGGGACAAGAATCACCAAACATTTTCGCTACCACCTACGAAACCTGTACATCTTTTGAACAATCATGGCGGCTTTGCTTACATTTATTAAACAGTTCATGAGCTCCGAAGCACTATGATGATGTCCATATCAATAACAAACATGGATTGTAACGATTCGAAGTCTAAACATTGTTTAATAAATGTAAACAAAGCCATCATGATGGTTGAAAGATGTACAGGCTTCGTAAGTAAATAGGAACTTGCTTCATGACTCCTCGCCCAGGCCGCGAGGATGTTGGTCCTTGGAAGCAAGAACAGATAAGCAACAGGTAGGTAGGTATGCCACATGTGGCTGTACTCACCTGGTTGAGCTCTGGCTCTTTGGTCCCGCCTCTCAACCGTCAATCAACAGGTGTACAGGTTCCTGAGCCTACTGGGCTTTATCATATCTACATTTGAAACTGTGTATGGAGTCAGCCTCCACCACATCACTGCCTAATGCATTCTATTTACTAACCACTCTGACACTGAAAAAGTTCTTCCTGACGTCTCTGTGGCTCATGTGGGTACTCAGCTTCCACCTGTGTCCCCTTGTTCGTGTACCACCCGTGTTGAATAATCCATCCTTGTCTACCCTGTCAATTTCCCTGAGAATTTTGTATGTGGTGATCATGTCTCCCCGAGCTCTTCTGTCTTCCAGCGACGTGAGGTGCAGTTCACATAGTCTGTCCTCATAACTCATGCCTCTTAGTTCTAGGACTAGCCTAGTGGCATACCTCTGAACTTTTTCTTTTGAACTATGAGGTGTTGGATGGCCGCTTGAGCGCGATCTAGCGACCAATTAGCGGCTACCATCGTGTCATTGTGATCTCAGACCACTGTAAGAAAATATATACATAAATAAGTATATTGATTTATATTTACTATATAATAGTAAATATAAATAAATATATAAATAGAATGAAGAAGTCGTTAAGTGAATCCCAATATTGTGGACAGTGTATATATAGTATATGTCACTGTGGGTTGGTTGGTGTTGTCGTCGTCGATCCTTCTCTATGGACAACCCAACCCACAACTCGGCAGAGTGCTTATACTAGGAGATCACCCTTGGCGCTTCTGGCTCTTGGAGAGGGGCTCAACGTCACACGTTTAGGGGATGCGGCTCCAACACTTAGCCTCGTTGTCACGTGCACACACCCACTCGAGCCGCTGTGACTCCCCACTCTCTCCTTAGGTGATATGATCTCCTCGGTCCCCCTTTGACTTATTAATATTACCTTCTACCCTGTCCACAGCAGTGGTTCTTGGTTCTTTCTCTCTCCTTCTTTACTACCTCCTGGGAAGCCTCACTAGGACAAGGGCAAACACCAGCAAATTGTGACACATTTACTTGACAAAGCACATACACGATACATACACACATATAATAATAATGAATCCTATACTCTATAATATCACAATCAGGTTGCACTCCAACACCATCAGAACTCTATTATCAGCTTATCAAGGGGTATCCTATCTCCTGGTTCGCCACCTGATACCATTAACCTCCTCAAGTTGGTCAAGCCTACATACACTGTTGCACTATCAGCAAGATAATGTATATATAGAAAATCAGCATTTGAATGCAATAACATATACCAGTATAAATGTTCATTGATACTTCAGTATAAAAAAACTCCTTGACATAAGAATGCCAACAGTCACTCACCTCTCACTGCGTCTTGCACGCTAATGACAACCAAACACTATCAACTCCCTACTAGTAATCCACCAGAACTTCCCCTTCCACCTCTGGAAGTTCACAACCCTAATATCCTTAGGTTCTTCCGGGCTTCACTACCAGGATCCTCTGCAGCTCCTCCCGGCTGCTATCATGAAGTTTCCTTGTGTAACTACGGTGCTTCACCCTTCTGTTAGGTTCTTCCACAGCTCTCTTGGCTGCTACACCACCTCTACAGAAGCACGTGACACTCCTCTTCACTGCTGCTTCTCCTCACAGCTCGAGGTCCTCTGCTCCACTACCTTGGAGTCTCATCAGCTACATCATCTGCTGGCTTCGAAGTTCTCAGCAACTTCTTCCCCAAAGACAAACCTGCAACCCATCGACGTTCCAATAAAATGTTCCCCATTAACACATAAACAAAAATAACCACACAATATGCTTGCCTCAAACCTCTATCTGTTCTCTACATACAGTGAGAGTGGACTCCCCCGTTTTGGGCGGGTCCATACTCCACCTCGCCTGGCGGCGGCGTCCTCACTCGCTGGGAGGGTCTTCCTCCATCCGGAGCCAGGCTCCCTCAGTCGTCCGCCAGAGCTCAGAGAGGACGGACGTCGCTCCGTGCTCCTCCCTCTTCACTCTCCTATTTCAGGCTTTCTGCCTTATTAAAACATGTCTAACTTATAAATAAACATCGCTACTGTCGCTGGGCACACGACCAACTACAAACAATCACTATGAACTGGCGTTTATCGTGCTTACCACAGATTAATTGGTCGAGGGCGCTTTCCCTCTGACGCGTCTGGTCAGGGCGCTCCACACAGCCCACAATAATGCCTCCGGGCGGCTTAATATTCACTAATTATCGTCCACGACTTGAGACCACACGTCCCCAGCTCGATTCCACAGCTGGTACGTCTGCACACTTCTCTTCTCTTAGAGATATATCACTAGGGGTTCCCTTCTGACGGGAGCTCAACGGAGCGCGGCTTCCCCCTGCGATGTCTGGCACTCAAGTGAGGTCAAGGTCCTCCAGAAGCGAGCCTCACGCCTCCAGCAAAGTGTCCACATCTCCTAGCCAGTCATTTATCTATTTTCTTCTGCATTGCCCATAATCTCAAACTGTTACACATATCCAACCAACCATTTTTTCATATGGGTTATCACCTCAATACTTGCTAGACCTTCTAGTTAGGTCAGGCTTGCTGAATAACTCTCAAGAAGGGAGACTCGTTTCTCCTGCAGGCTGAGATCATAACACTCCCCTCCCCTTATTTTTGAGAGTTATTCCAGTGGCAAAGCTCGGGATAATACATCCGCCACCACGCTGTCTCGTTCTTTAACCGATATACTCTCTTAGGAGTCTACAATTAATTCGTTGCACCTTGCAACATCTGGCTCACAACTCTCCAGAAACATGATCTTCTCACAAATGATCTGACTTCTCTGGCACCTCTTGGCTAGGCTGTCCTCCTTGGACGCCTGCAATCCATTGGTCCACTCTACTTACTGTCTCCACCCTCCGTTTCCTCGTCTTCTTCTCTTCCCGTCCAGAGTCAGACATCTGCTGTCTGTACCTCCTCTGTCGTCTTCACACTTCCATCTACTGCCGTTATACTTCCGCCTCCTGTCATCATACTTCACTCCCTCGTCTTCACCGACGATCCTCCCTTTCGTCTCCTCATTTATCCAAGACCTCATCCTGTTTGACTTCCATCGAGTCCTCGGCTTTCTTCTATTCCTCCATGCTTGCATCATCATCCTCTTTCCACACTTTTCACCTCTATACAACTCCATTTCTTCTCCTTCAACTCTTCTTCGTTCCCTAAAAGTTTCTTCGGGCACTGTACTACATCCAACAGCACTCGACCGTACACGTCGCTTGCCTCTCCCAGAGTGCTCGTAAGCATCTCTCCACACATACTGTCTCTTCTCCTTTCATTTTCTCGGCTATTACTCTTCTTCACTATCTCTCCGCCACGTTTTCTGTGAAACATGTCGACTCCTGACATCTCAAACAACTTAACTCCACTATCCCTATGCCTCTGTGCTCGTGGACAACGTGACGCTCTACTCCCGTCCTCAGTATGTCCACATCTTTCCTCATTCATACTCAGCACAGTTGCATTCACCTTCCGACCCTTAATTTCAGCAGTCTGGGCTCTACTCAGGTCCGCTCTCTTCACATGATTCTTCTTCGGCTGGGCCATCTTCACTTTTGACCTCACCGAGACTTCATTTTTCTGGGCTGGACCTTCATCAAACAGCCATGCTATATCTACATCGATATCTTCTACCGGTTTAATTGACACTGTCTCATCTTCTCCAGTGTCTTCCTTGTCGGCCACCTCTGCCTTCGTCACTACCGAGACAGGGTACTCAATGGCTTGGCGGTCTCCTGACTCATCTCCTCGGATGTCAGTCAGGTTCACACTCTCAGGTGTCCCACCCGTGCCATGGCCTTCTGGGCACTCCTCTGGCACAGTCTCCGCTATGACTCTTGGCAACACCTTTGTCCCGCACAAGTCATTCCCCAGGATCACTTGGACTCCTGGAATAGGTATGTCGGGGCACACTCCCAACATCACCTCTGCCGACACATATTCCGACCTTAGCTGGACAGTACATACGGGCATGTCACTCTCAGACAATAACCCATATACTTTCATCTTCCCACTGCCAGCTAACCGTCGATCATTCCCAATCAGGCTTCTCGTAATCAAGCTCTGATTAGCTCCGGTATCTCTTAAGATACCAACTTCTACCTCAGGTTGGCCTCCTACACTGATCCAACCTTTGCTCATGAACGGCCTATACCTCTCGTTCACTAAGTTCGCTCTCTGTGGTTTGTCTTGGAACACATTAGTATATTTACCTCGGGGGTCACACATGGCCAGGGTCACAACTCTCTTGCCCTGCCGACAATCTCGCATCACGTGACCCAATCCGTTACAATTGTAACATCTCATCTGGGAAAAATCTCTTCTATATGTACCAAAGTAGCTCTGACTCTGCCCACTCGTATTGGAGTTCCTCGGGCCAGACGTACTACTCGTACTCTGTGGAGCTTTACTGGACTCTTGATTTCCTGGATACCGATCAGTTTCTCGTTTAGCTCCTCCATCCTCACTTTCAGATGAAGTGCGCGACCTACTCTTCTGAGTTTTTGGGTACTTACTTTTATCTGCCCATTTATCAAAATTTTTCTCACCCCAGACTCTTCTGGGTCTCTCATAATTTCTTCCTCCCCAGACTCCATTGGATCTGCCATTGCTGCATCTCGCCTCGCTTCTCACTCTGTTCTCCCTTAAGCTCTTGTATGCTTCAGTAATCATATCTGCCCTATCTGCGGCATCTTTCACCTCCTTTATCCCTGCTTCTTGGATCTTGAACTTTGTTTCGGGATGCATCATCTCCAAGAACTTCTCCATGACCATCAGTTGCTTCAGGTCAGCATAAGATCCAACTCCAGCAGCCTCAATCCACTTCTGGAATCGTCTTTCCAGATCTCTTGCTGTCTCAGCAAACGTACATGCTCCAACTTTGATCATTTCTCTGAAGCGCTTCCTATAAGCTTCTGGGGTTAACTGAAACGAGCGCAATATGCTGCTCTTTACTGTGGCGTAATCCTGGCACTCTTCCAGTGACAATTGGGTGTATGCCTCCCTGGCTGCACCGGTCAATCTTAACTGGACCAGCTGGGCCCATTCCTCCTGTGGCCACTCCTTGATACTGGCTACTTTCTCAAAATGCTCGAAGAAGCTCTCTGCCTCTTCGGGAACAAACAAGGGAATGTCCTTCTCCCTAACCCTAACATCTGGTGGGTGTGATACCTGGGTGGTGCTCTCTGGCAACCCATGTTCAATCCTTTGTTCAGCCAAGGTTCTATTCGCTTCTATCTGCATTTGTTTTGTTCTCTCTTTTTCTTTTTCGACCTGGGCTTTTTCTTTTTCGACCTCTAGTCTTGCTTTCTCTTTTTCTTTCTCTTGTTCCAACTCCAGTTCTCTTATTCTGGTTTTCTCTTTTTCTACTTCCAGTTTGGTTTTCTCGGCTTCATTTTTCATCTGGAGTTCCAATTTCATCTTTTCCAGCTGGAACTGTCTCTCCTTGTCCTCTCGTTGTTGCTGCATCTGGAGCTCTAACTGGAATCTCTCCAAGCTCCTATTTCGGCTACTCCTGCTACTGCGGCTACTCCTGCTGCTCCTACTTGATCCCTGGGATCTCACGTCATCCTGCCCATCATCCTCCTTTCCACTTTCAGCTCCTTTCTGGGCTCCTTGTTCTGCCGCTTCACTTTTGGCTCTTAACTGCCTCAGGATCTCATCCTTCATCCCAGCTACTTTAGATGCTTTCAACCTGATGCCACATTTTTCTGCTATTTGTTTCAATTGATCCCTCGTGCAACCTTCCAAGTCCTCAGGCTTGCCTGACTCCACAAACGCTTGCACCTTATCCATCTTTGTCCTGTGAGTCTTCCCAAGAGAGAGAGTATACACCTGCGGTCACACAGTTTATTTCAGCAAGGGTGTACAAATCCACTCTTGGACAGGGTGTGGGTGTGTCAGTTCACTCTCCCGGATACAGGCCCCCAATTTATTATAGACTGTGGGTTGGTTGGTGTTGTCGTCGTCGATCCTTCTCTATGGACAACCCAACCCACAACTCGGCAGAGTGCTTATACTAGGAGATCACCCTTGGCGCTTCTGGCTCTTGGAGAGGGGCTCAACGTCACACGTTTAGGGGATGCGGCTCCAACACTTAGCCTCGTTGTCACGTGCACACACCCACTCGAGCCGCTGTGACTCCCCACTCTCTCCTTAGGTGATATGATCTCCTCGATCCCCCTTTGACTTATTAATATTACCTTCTACCCTGTCCACAGCAGTGGTTCTTGGTTCTTTCTCTCTCCTTCTTTACTACCTCCTGGGAAGCCTCACTAGGACAAGGGCAAACACCAGCAAATTGTGACACATTTACTTGACAAAGCACATACACGATACATACACACATATAATAATAATGAATCCTATACTCTATAATATCACAATCAGGTTGCACTCCAACACCATCAGAACTCTATTATCAGCTTATCAAGGGGTATCCTATCTCCTGGTTCGCCACCTGATACCATTAACCTCCTCAAGTTGGTCAAGCCTACATACACTGTTGCACTATCAGCAAGATAATGTATATATAGAAAATCAGCATTTGAATGCAATAACATATACCAGTATAAATGTTCATTGATACTTCAGTATAAAAAAAACTCCTTGACATAAGGATGCCAACAGTCACTCACCTCTCACTGCGTCTTGCACGCTAATGACAACCAAACACTATCAACTCCCTACTAGTAATCCACCAGAACTTCCCCTTCCACCTCTGGAAGTTCACAACCCTAATATCCTTAGGTTCTTCCGGGCTTCACTACCAGGATCCTCTGCAGCTCCTCCCGGCTGCTATCATGAAGTTTCCTTGTGTAACTACGGTGCTTCACCCTTCTGTTAGGTTCTTCCACAGCTCTCTTGGCTGCTACACCACCTCTACAGAAGCACGTGACACTCCTCTTCACTGCTGCTTCTCCTCACAGCTCGAGGTCCTCTGCTCCACTACCTTGGAGTCTCATCAGCTACATCATCTGCTGGCTTCGAAGTTCTCAGCAACTTCTTCCCCAAAGACAAACCTGCAACCCATCGACGTTCCAATAAAATGTTCCCCATTAACACATAAACAAAAATAACCACACAATATGCTTGCCTCAAACCTCTATCTGTTCTCTACATACAGTGAGAGTGGACTCCCCCGTTTTGGGCGGGTCCATACTCCACCTCGCCTGGCGGCGGCGTCCTCACTCGCTGGGAGGGTCTTCCTCCATCCGGAGCCAGGCTCCCTCAGTCGTCCGCCAGAGCTCAGAGGGGACGGACGTCGCTCCGTGCTCCTCCCTCTTCACTCTCCTATTTCAGGCCTTCTGCCTTATTAAAACATGTCTAACTTATAAATAAACATCGCTACTGTCGCTGGGCACACGACCAACTACAAACAATCACTATGAACTGGCGTTTATCGTGCTTACCACAGATTAATTGGTCGAGGGCGCTTTCCCTCTGACGGCGTCTGGTCAGGGCGCTCCACACAGCCCACAATAATGCCTCCGGGCGGCTTAATATTCACTAATTATCGTCCACGACTTGAGACCACACGTCCCCAGCTCGATTCCACAGCTGGTACGTCTGCACACTTCTCTTCTCTTAGAGATATATCACTAGGGGTTCCCTTCTGACGGGAGCTCAACGGAGCGCGGCTTCCCCCTGCGATGTCTGGCACTCAAGTGAGGTCAAGGTCCTCCAGAAGCGAGCCTCACGCCTCCAGCAAAGTGTCCACATCTCCTAGCCAGTCATTTATCTATTTTCTTCTGCATTGCCCATAATCTCAAACTGTTACACATATCCAACCAACCATTTTTTCATATGGGTTATCACCTCAATACTTGCTAGACCTTCTAGTTAGGTCAGGCTTGCTGAATAACTCTCAAGAAGGGAGACTCGTTTCTCCTGCAGGCTGAGATCATAACAGTCACTCTGAGGTGGCTCTGGAGGCGGGGGGGGGGGTTGAATTACTATTTAGTAGGACTTAAGAAGAACTAAAGAATAATTTGGAAGTGGTCTTGGGGAACTAAAGAACAGTTAGGAGGCAGTCTTGGGGTGTTCTTCCCCTGGAAATAAAAAGTTATTTGTGAAAACTCTGGACACAGAGAAGCGGACTAGGATAAATACGTCGCTACGAGAACTATCCTACTACTACACCTTCTACTTCGTCTACTACTACTACTACGACACCTTCTACTTCGTCTACTACTACTACTACGACACCTACTACTACGTCTACTACTACTACTACGACACCTACTACTACGTCTACTACTACGACACCTTCTACTTCGTCTACTACTACTACTACGACACCTTCTACTACGTCTACTACTACTACTACGATACCTACTACTACGTCTACTACTACGACACCTTCTACTTCGTCTACTACTACTACTACGACACCTTCTACTACGTCTACTGCTACTACGACACCCCCTTCGTCTACTGCTACTACTACACCTTCTACTTCGTCTACTACTACTACTACGACACCTTCTACTACGTCTACTACTACTACTACGATACCTTCTACTACGTCTACTACTACTACTACTCCTACGACCTCTTCTACTACAGCTAGTTCATAGGCTGTTAGTGTTGAGCTGCAGCCCCTTTACTGACAGTTCCTCATCTTGCCTTGTTCCACTACACACCTGTAGCCACACACACACACGTGTCAAGTACTACATACATGACTGGAACTACCACACACACACACACGGCTGATACTACCACATATATGACTAGTACCACCACACACGTGAGTCCTGATAGTACAACACATGTGACAGTTACTACTTCACGTGTGTCTTTTGGTACTACATATGTGACTGGTACTACCACACACATGACTGGTACTCCCAAACGTTGCTACAACGATGCAACCAAATGTTGATACAACTATGCAGCTAAACGTTGCTACAACATTGCAACAAAACGTTCCTACAACGGTGCAACAAAACGTTGCTACAACTGTGCAACAAAACGTTGCCACAACGGTGCAACAAAACATTCCTACAACGGTGCAACAAACCGTTGCTACACTGGTGGAACAAACGTTGTGGCTATGTTGTGTGTTGACGGGGAAACAACCTTTATTTTATAAACATTACAATGAAAATATATATTCATGGCCGTAATGATGATACTAATGATGATCAAATCAATCTGAACATCATTATTTGATTGGAAAAATCAAATCACTCTGATATATATGTCGATACGCAGATATATAATACAAAATATACAAAATAAATAAATGTAACTACAAAATTAGAGGGCTGAACAGAGGGCTGATGCCACATCACCAACAGACGCTGCAGCAGCCCCAGGCACACCACAGCATCATCCTCAACAGCATCTTCCAAAGACAGTGAAGTCTCAAAGTCGCCTTCATCTGCCCAAGAGGCGCGCCCAGGGGGAGACGAACTAAGAGCCCACCTCGCACGCTTTGGAACTGAACACAAATCATCGGAATTCTCGACCTCGCCCATAGATGTCCCAGCAGAATCGCGGGAAGGCTGTGCACGGTCACGCAACACACGATCACATAACACTGCCGCTACTTCAAACATCGGAGGCACCGGACTACACACACGCCACCAAAGGCTGCACCGTGGGAACCGCCACAGGAACAAGCACCGCACACAATCCCCCGAGCACCAAGCAACACACCGCCACAGTCCACCGCGGAGGACACAGCAGCTGGGATCACAGGCACAGCAGCCGGTTGGAGGGACAGCACGCACCCCCACCACCATCCAGGGGGGGCAGCAGACACCAGCCCAACATCCAACACTCCCAACATCAACCGAAAGCACAGGCACACCATCCACAGCAGCACCCACAGAGATCTCCGGGACCTGCAGAGGGAGGAAGTCCTCCTCCCAGAAGAGGTTCACATGGCCCACACCGCCAGTACGGCAACCCGCAGCCAGATGCCCGACAGACTGCACAGGAAGCACATATGGGGCTGGCCAGCGTAGAAGATCCGGACCTAAAAGCCCATGAGCATAACGGAGGACGGGATCGGAGTCTTCAGGCACGCGGTGAAAGTCCGGGTCTCATTCGGAACGCCCCGCAACCTGTCAGAGGAGATGATGCTCATCCGGACGTGCAACGGCTGAAGTATTGCCACAACTGGTCTTCTGAAAACTCCAACAGCACTCTGTGAATGGACACATATGTGGACGAACCGCTCCGGTTCGAAATGATCACGGACCCAACATCCCCAGATAACTGGAAGGAACGCCCAGCATAGCGGTCGACAAAATCTCGGAAGATAGCCGAAGAACTGAACTTGATCACCGCTCGGTGACCGGAGATAATCTGCACACCACAGACGTCGGCCACATCCACTCGCAAGATATCCAGCAACACCAACTCCACCTCTGGGTAATCCATCTTTCCAGTAAACTCCATGCCAATCGTCGAAGCACACTGAACAGGAGGCAAAGGCAGCCCCATCCTACCGGCGGGCACGGCCACAAGGCCTCGCAACAGTCACTACCAACGACCTGGCAAACAGCGGACAAGCTCAGACTGGTGCTGACAGCGGCGACGGCCCCGGGCGTCTTATACTTGCTGGTATATTCGCATATCGCTCCCATACTCCTCTTTTATACCTAATTTCCTAGTCTCTCCCCTCGATCTTTCCTAATCTCCCTTTGTTTCTCACCTTTCTTCTAATCCCCTTTGTTTCCCTATCCATCCTCTCTTCTCTTTCCCCTCCTCCCTATTTCCCCACATTACTTCACTCCTTTCCCCCCTCCGCCCACTCTCCACCTCTCCCCCCCCCCACCTATTTCCACAAATCCGGCAATTTTAAAGTTCGATAACTCTGAGGAAGGTAAGGAAGTACTCGTACCCTGTCCTAGTGGTTAACAAGAGGAATGCTCTGAAAGAAGAAGTGGTGAAAGCCACCGCCACCCATAACTATTAACGCCAGATTCCCAAAATAATTTGAACACCAGAACAGTTAAAATTATAACGTACCACACGCAAACACGACTGACAGGCGGAGCATCGAGAGCTAGACCTCACTTTCCCGTGAACAACATTTGGTAAGTACTCAACTGTTGAGAGTTGAGAGGCGGGACCAAAGAGCCGCAGCTCAACCAGCCCCCGCAAGCACAATTAGGTGAGTACTGACAGGAACGTACTCAGGGTTCAGCAAAGTCAGCAGCATCGTCAAGCGCAGCCTCACCTCGACCCGGTGTCCAACACAGAGAACATTGCTTCCTAATGTCCCACAATTCTGGCATTCCCAGTGGCCGTCCAAAATGAGATCACGGAACACAGCCGGTGTGGGGCCGAGCGTGAGCCGCCCTTGGCCCAGTGCAACATTTGCAACATTCACGTCAATATTGCACATGCAAGTGCCGCTGACAAGCACAGGCAATGCATCTAGACCGATAAGGACAGAGGCTCTTGTGGTGAAAGTGACCATGGTAAACCCTTGGGCCCTGAAGTGAAAGTGCTCACAGTAGGACCTTTGCTCCAGGGGTGAAAGTGCTCACAGTAGGACCTTTGCTCCAGGGGTGAAAGTGCTCACAGTAGGACCTTTGCTCCAGGGGTGAAAGTGCTCACAGTAGGACCTTTGCTCCAGGGGTGAAAGTGCTCACATTAGGACCTTTGCTCCAGGGGTGAAAGTGCTCACAGTAGGACCTTTGCTCCAGGGGTGAAAGCGCTTACAGTAGGACCTTTGCTCCAGGGGTGAAAGTCCTCACAGTAGGACCTTTGCTCCAGGGGTGAAAGTGCTCACAGTAGGACCTTTGCTCCAGGGGTGAAAGTGCTCACATTAGGACCTTTGCTCCAGGGTGAAAGTGCTCACAGTAGGACCTTTGCTCCAGGGGTGAAAGTGCTCACAGTAGGACCTTTGCTCCACGGGTGAAAGTGCTCACAGTAGGACCTTTGCTCCAGGGGTGAAAGTGCTCACAGTAGGACCTTTGCTCCATGGGTGAAAGTGCTCACAGTAGGACCTTTGCTCCATGGGTGAAAGTGCTCACAGTAGGACCTTTGCTCCAGGGGTGAAAGTGCTCACAGTAGGACCTTTGCTCCAGGGGTGAAAGTGCTCACAGTAGGACCTTTGCTCCAGGGGTGAAAGTGCTCACAGTAGGACCTTTGCTCCATGGGTGAAAGTGCTCACAGTAGGTCCTTTGCTCCAGGGGTGAAAGTGCTCACAGTAGGACCTTTGCTCCAGGGGTGAAAGTGCTCACAGTAGGACCTTTGCTCCAGGGGTGAAAGTGCTCACAGTAGGACCTTTGCTCCAGGGGTGAAAGTGCTCACAGTAGGACCTTTGCTCCATGGGTGAAAGTGCTCACAGTAGGACCTTTGCTCCAGGGGTGAAAGCGCTCACAGTAGGACCTTTGCTCCAGGGGTGAAAGTGCTCACAGTAGGACCTTTGCTCCAGGGGTGAAAGTGCTCACAGTAGGACCTTTGCTCCAGGGGTAAAAGTGCTCACAGTAGGACCTTTGCTCCAGGGGTGAAAGTGCTCACAGTAGGACCTTTGCTCCAGGGGTGAAAGTGCTCACAGTAGGACCTTTGCTCCAGGGGTGAAAGTGCTCACAGTAGGACCTTTGCTCCAGGGGTGAAAGTGCTCACAGTAGGACCTTTGCTCCAGGGGTGAAAGTGCTCACAGTAGGACCTTTGCTCCAGGGGTGAAAGTGCTCACAGTAGGACCTTTGCTCCAGGGGTGAAAGTGCTCACAGTAGGACCTTTGCTCCAGGGGTGAAAGTGATCATGGTCAAGGTTAACAAGAGGCAGCTCCCGCCGTGGCCATGTGGTCAAGGCCACATACTGACCAGCGGGTCAAGGCGCAACATAGTGACCGGCCAAGACATAATTGGGCCACACATTATTTACGCATAATTTAAGGTATAAAAGCTCTAGGTTACATGGAGTCAACATTATGTGGTAATATCAGGCGATGACAGCGAGGGGTCACAACCCCCCCACCCTGGGGCATGTGTAGGGTCAAGCGGTCAATACCCCCGACTCCTTCATATGTGTGCACTCACCGAGGTCCTAAGATGAAGTCCTTCACGGAACGGAAAGAGAGAATGATCTAGGAGTTGATATCTCACCAAACCTGTCTCCTGAAGCCCACATCAAAGGAATAACATCAGCGGCGTATGCGAGGCTGGCTAACATCAGAACTGCTTTCAGAAACCTGTGCAAGGAATTATTCAGAATCTTGTACACCACATATGTAAGACCAATTCTGAAGTATGCAGCCCCAGCATGGAGCCCGTACCTTGTCAAGCACAAGACGAAGCTGGAAAAAGTTCATAGGTATGCCACTAGGCTAGTCCCAAAACTAAGAGGCATGAGTTATGATGACAGACTACGTGAACTGCACCTCACGTCGCTAGAAGACAGAAGAGCTCGGGGAGATATGATCACCACATACAAAATTCTCAGGGGAATTGACAGGGTGGACAAGGATGGATTAGTTAACACGGGTGGGACGCGAACAAGGCTGACACAGGTGGAAGCTGAGTACCCAAATGAGCCACAGAGACATTAGAAAGAACTTTTTCAGTGTCAGAGTAGTTAGTAAATGGAATGCATTAGGAAGTG